CATTGTCACCCCACTGCCTGCTTCTCATCCTGCCTGTGTCTTCTTTCTGCCCAGTTTGGAAAAGCCCCTATTCTGTGCCAGTCACTCTGCCCAGTCTCATTTAATCTCCCTACAACACAGTATTACTCCTCCTTGCACACACTTTCTCTTATTCATTCATCTATTCATTCATTTGACAAACATTTAAGTGTCTAGTATGTACCAAACACAGAGGTACAGTTAAAAAAGGATAAAAATCACCGCCCTCATGAAGCTTATATTCTAATATAAAGACAGGATAAATAATGTATTTAGAATGTGAAAATGCTTTAGAAAAACATACAGCAGGATCAGGGGGCCAAGAAATTCCAGGGAAGAGGAACAGTTTTTAAGAGAGGTGAGGATGGGCCCCGTTCCAAAAGGTGACATCTGAACAAAGACTGGAAGGAGAGGAGAGATCTCTGTGGATATCTAGGGGCAGGCGAGACCATGCCTGGCAGGTTTGAGGATGGGAGGGAGGGATGGAGCGGGGCACCTGCATGGTCACTGTGGGTCTTATGGGCCATGGCAAGGCCTTTGTTCCTCACTCTGAGTGAGATGGAGGGTGTCGGAGGTATCTGGGCAGGAATGGACGTGATCTTGGTTATTTGAAGGGTCACCCTGGCTGCTGTGTGGCATGCTATAAGGAGGTGAGAGAGGGAGCAGGGAGCCATTTGAGGAATGGAGCATGAAAGCATCTTGCCCCAGGGTCATAGCACTCATGGGTGATGGGGCTGAAACTGGAATCCAGTTCCAATGCTACAGCTGATGTACTTTGCCCTACTCTAGCCTCCTCCCTGGTGGGAGAATCCCTGGGGTGCTGGGCTCCCTGGCCCAGGTTCTGAGGGAGAACGGGGTAGGCATGAGATATAACCCACTGTCCTTACCCTCTTCCCCCAGATGGTCTCCCTCGGGCCCTGAATCAGGTAGGTCCTGACTCCCCTAGCAACATGCTCCAGGTCTGGATGTAGATGTGGGAGGCATGAGGCCCCAGAAGCTGTGCCCAGCTCTGGGCACCAGGGAAGCCCGGGCATGCCAGGGCTGTGGCTATGGTGGTGGGTTGCTAGGTGACTCTAAGAGGGAGCCCTGGTTACTGCTGCCTGGCAGAGGCATCTCCCTCCTCTGCCTCTTTCACCTCCTCCATGGCCTCTGGCCTCCCAGGAGGCCTTGTGGTGTGAGCCAGAGCTGTGATCAGTGCTTGCCACTGGATCTGGCAGGGAGCTCTGATTGGTACCAGGTGGCTGGGCCCTGAGGAGCCAGACTGGGCTGCAGGGCCTGAGCTTCTCTCATGGGGCACAGCCCTGGAGCACACCTGGCTCAGAGCCCAGCTCAGCAGTCACAGGCCTAGGTCCTCACTCAGCTCTGAGCCACCTTGTCTGACCCTGAGCAAGGCATGGCATCCCTCTGTGCCTTGACGACCCCATCCATCTGGCCTGCAGAATCCTCCCCAGGAGCTTCATTTTCTGTGAAGAAGGGTGCTGAGTGCGCGGGGATCCAGGTACTCCTGTCCCCACCCCCGATGGCTTGAGTGTGTAATGCTTAAGTTTTGCACTAAATCTCATTTACAGAAAGAGTTCCACTATTTAAGAAAAATGTTTGAAAACCTCTGGACTGAATGATTCTAAGGATTTTCAGTGCCAAACTGAAAAGGTCCCCAGAGTACAACTTGCCCATCTCCTTAGTTTACAGTTCAGGACACTGAGGCCCCCAAAGAAGGAGAAACTTCGTCTAGGTCAGGTTTGGTAGTGGGAAGAACACTGGGTTGGGGGTCAGGAGGCCTGGGCTCACATTCCTGCTCTGCCACCAGGTCTTGGACAGCCTTGGGCAAGTCCTTTCTTTCCCCTGGGTTGGGCCAGCCATGGTTTCAGGCTGAGGCCTGAGCTCCAGGGGTACCTGGCTGGATATGGGACAGAGCAGGGAAGGATGCAAACCTTCAGAGGCCTGGAGCTTGTCTTGGCGGTAATTCTAAAACATGTGAATAATGTGTATAAAGAAAATGTGAATGGATTATGAAGTATATGCAAAATTTCCTTGAATTCTAAAAAGGAAGCTTAGACTTGCAGGAAATTTTGGCCTGTGCAACATGCCCCCAGACTTCCCCTGCTGCCAGCTTCTAGGGATGGTTTACATGGAAAGTTTGAGGAGCACTGGAATACTGGCTTCCTAAGATTCTTTGGGATTCTCAGACGTGTTTCTGTCTTCCATGGCAGAATGTGATGTTCTTTAGACTTAGAATAAGACCAACCTGTAATTCCAGCACTTTGGGAGGCCGAGGCAGGGGGATCATCTGAGGTCGGGAGTTCAAGACCAGTCTGGTCAACATGGCGAAACCACGCCTTTACTAAAAATACAAAAAGCAGCCGGGCAGCAGTGGCACGCACCTGTACTTCCAGCTACTTGGGATGCTGAGGCTGGAGAATCACTTGAGCCTGGGAGGCGGAGGTTGCAGTGAGCTGAGATCACGCCACTGTACTCCAGTCTGGGCTACAGAATGAAACCCTGTCTCAAACAACAAAACAAAACAAAAGACCAACCTGAAATCAATACCTGGCACAGCACTTAAGCTGTGTGACCTTGGCAACTCACTTAACATCTCTGAGCTTCATTCTCTGGTTATGAGATAGGGATCACAATCCCTGACTTATATGGAGTTCAACTAATGATTACATTACATAAAGTACTTAGAGTACCCAGGGCTGAATGGGCAAGTGCTGGCTAGGTGCTGGTACCTGGTACTGTCCTTCCTCCAGGATATAATGACATTGATAAAGAGGTGTTGCCTGAGTGACCTCCAGACGGAGAAATGGGGAGGTGGGAGATGGAGCCTCTTGTAAGCCAGACAGTCCTATGGGGGAGGAGAACTGAGGCCTCCTAGGAGCCTGAACACAGGTGTGGTGGAGGGGCTCCGGAGCCAGGTGCAGGAGTGGGAACAGGAAGCAGGTATCTACTTGAGGGAGCACTGCTCCCTAGGGGCCCAGCTCCCCTCCCCTCAGGGTCTCAGGAGAACCAGGCAGGGCAAGGCTGGCAAGTCCCAGCTGTTGCCTTCAAAGGCCAGAAAGTGCCAGAGACAGGGAGCCTGGGGCCCTGAGGAGTCAGGTCAGTGCCTGGAGCTGGGGGTGAGGGGTTGGAGGGTACCCTGGGCAGCAGGAAGGACCCCTCCTCCCGGAGACTGGTGGGAAGGAGGCAGGGGGGAGAGCCTCAGAGAGCAGTAGCTGGAGCTGTGAGTGTGGCTGGGTGGATCCACAGGTTAAGAGCAGGTCCATGAGCTGGGCAGAGCTGGAGTGGTACCTGGCATCGTTGCCTAGCTGTGGGGCCATGGGAAGTTACATCATGCCTCTGGGCCTCCTGTCCCCAGTGTATGAAATTGGAGAATGCCATCTTCCCAGAGTTGGTGCCCAGCACAGTTACATACAAGGCATGATGTTAAAGAGATGGAAACAGCAGGTCTGTTGGGGGAACTAAGGAGTGAGATCTTCTGGCCAGAGTGAGGATATAACCTACGTTTATCAGCACCTGGTGTGCAAACATTTATTCATGCACATGTGATGATCTTACAGCCTTACAAGGTAGTTACTGAATGTAGCTCACTTTTTCAGAGTAGTTCACTGAGGCTCACAGAAACTGAGTAAACATCCCATGGTCACATAGCTAGGCAGCCAAAGAGCCAGGCATCCTGTCCTGCCCTCTGATACCCAGGCCCCTGCTGTTTCCATAGCAGTACCTGGACCAGGAGGTTGAGGCCACCAGGTGGGAGGCCCCAGAGGTGGGGTGCAGCAGGGCCAGCAGAAGTTCTACTCCAGATTCCAGTGGGGCCAGTGGACTCCCTGCCTTCCTCTGTCCTCAGAACAGGCCTGGCAAAAGCAGGCAGTGACATGGGAAGCACTGGAGACTGGCACAGCAGAATTAAAAAGAGGATGTATGCAGAGATGGCAGAGGTGAAGCCCACGGAGGAACTGAAGGACAGCAGAAAAGGCCACCTTGGGCAAGCCACTTCCTCTCTCTGAGCCTAGGTCTTCTGGTGTGTGAACGGGGACTTTGGCACACACTTTGTGGGGATTTTTTGAAGGCTCCACCAGGAAGGGGCTTGGAGGGCAGGCAGGTGGGTCAGGAGAAGAGGGCAGGATGGGATAGCTGGGCTGGCCTGAAGGTGGACACTGAAGAGGCTGAGGTCTCTGTGGCAAAAGGATGTCTTTTGAGGGACCTGCTGGAATCCAAGCCCTCTGGAGTTCACAGCAGCTCAGAGGAGTTGGGGTGATACCTCTGAAAAGTCTCAGGCCTGGACTCACCTTGGGGACCCCCAGCCTACTCTGTTTCCCCTGGCCAGGCCCTCCCAGCAAAGGGTTAACAGTCTTCTCTACCTGCAGTTGCATTTTAAAGACACGAAATTAAAGCAGGTAATTTATTCTCCCCACACACGAAAGAGCAATTAGTTCTAAACAGGGCTTAATCAGTCACCGCGAGATTGATTTCTGGAGCCCTGGGTTTTCGGGCTCCTGGCGCCATGCCAGGCTGGGGAGGGAGGGGGGCGGACAAATGAGCCGCAGCGGCATAAGCCCTTACGTAATCTGCTGGGGGCCCTGGCAGCCTGGTTAGCCCCGCGTGGGGCTTGGCTGAGCTGGTGAGAGGGGGTCCTGCTCCCTGCTGCAGGCCCCCCGCAGGCTCAGAGTAGCCCACAGGGTTGGTCATGCCCCCAGGGAAAGGCTAAGACCAAAGCTCTGGCCCCACCTTCTGGGCAGTCTCTGTGTGGGAGTGGGGAGGGATGGCGGTGCGGTTCTGGGGCAGAGGGTGGGTACTCTGGGTTTGTCCAACCCGGTACTTACACCTGTCCCCTCCCTCTCCCAACCCCCTTACCTCATCTTCATCCCTGTCTTCCCCCTCCTTCTACACTCTCTTATCTTCCCCCTCTTCTTTCCATCACGTCCTCTCTTCCCCATGGCCTCCTCACCCCCGACTCCCACCCGCGTCCTTGTCTCTGGCCACAGAACTCCATCCGGCACAACCTGTCGCTGCACACCCGCTTCATCCGCGTGCAGAACGAGGGCACCGGCAAGAGTTCGTGGTGGATGCTGAACCCCGAGGGTGGAAAGACAGGCAAGACCCCGCGGCGCAGGGCCGTGTCCATGGACAACGGGGCCAAGTTCCTGCGCATCAAGGGCAAGGCGAGCAAGAAGAAGCAGCTGCAGGCGCCCGAGCGAAGCCCGGACGACAGCTCTCCGGGCGCGCCCGCCCCGGGGCCGGTGCCTGCCGCAGCCAAGTGGGCCGCCAGCCCCGCCTCGCACGCCAGCGACGACTACGAGGCTTGGGCCGACTTCCGCGGCGGCGGGAGACCCCTGCTCGGGGAGGCGGCCGAACTGGAGGACGACGAGGCCCTGGAGGCCCTGGCGCCATCGTCGCCGCTCATGTACCCGAGTCCCGCCAGCGCGCTGTCGCCGGCGCTAGGCGCGCGCTGTCCGGGTGAGCTGCCCCGCCTGGCCGAGCTGGGAGGCCCGCTGGGCCTGCACGGCGGCGGCGGCGCGGGGCTGCCCGAGGGCCTGCTGGACGGCGCGCAGGACGCGTACGGGCCGCGGGCCCGCACCGGGACGCCAGCCTACTTCGGCGGCTGCAAGGGCGGCGCTTATGGCGGGGGCGGGGGCTTCGGGCCGCCGGCGATGGGCGCGCTGCGCCGCCTGCCCATGCAGACCATCCAGGAGAACAAGCAGGCCAGCTTCGCGCCGGCCGCCGCGCCCTTCCGCCCGGGCCGCTGCCCCGCGCTGCTGCCGCCGCCGCCGCCCGCGCCCAGGCCCGGCCGGTGCTGGGCGCGCCCGGGGAGCTGGCGCTGGCGGCGCGCGGACCGCCGCCTACCCTGGCAAGGGGACGGCCCCATACGCGCCGCCCGCGCCCTCGCGCAGTGCCTTAGCCCACCCCATCAGCCTTATGACGCTGCCCGGCGAGGCGGGCGCCGCGGGTCTGGCACCGCCCGGCCACGCCGCCGCCTTCGGGGGCCCGCCCGGCGGCCTCCTGCTGGACGCGCTACCCGGGCCCTACGCGGCCGCCGCCGCCGGGCCGCTGGGCGCCGCGCCCGACCGCTTCCCGGCCGACCTGGACCTCGACATGTTCAGCGGGAGCCTCGAGTGCGACGTGGAGTCCATCATTCTCAACGACTTCATGGACAGCGACGAAATGGACTTCAACTTCGATTCGGCCCTGCCTCCGCCGCCGCCGGGCCTGGCCGGGGCCCCGCCCCCCAACCAGAGCTGGGTGCCGGGCTGAAGGCCGCCTCCCGACCCCGGGCGCCCCGTCCCGTCCCCAGGGGGCCTCTGTCTTCCCATCCCGATTCCCGGGTCCCCGCCCCCGACTCCAGCTCCCCAGGAGGCGGCCCCAGCCCAGCTAGAGACCCCTCTCGGAGGCCGGCCGCCGGGGAGGGGGAGGGAGGGGCCGGGGCACCCCACTGCTCCTGCCCACACTCCTGAGATCCACCCCCTCCTCCTGGGCAGGAAGCCTGGGAGAGGAGGCTGAATTCCAGGCTGGCCGGGAGTAGGGAGGAGCGGGGTGGGCCGCCTGGTGTGGACGGTGGTCGGGGAAGTCAACTAGGAGATGGGCCAGGGAGCGTTGACAAATCTTCAGTTTCATTTGCGGAGCCCTAGCCGTGACCCCGCGCCCACCCCAAACATGAATCTGATTCCCACTTGACACTTTCCCACTGGTCTTAGTCTCACCCACCCGAAGCCAGCAACCCTCTGCTGAAAACACACCTACCTAAATCCATCCACCCTGAGCAGCCCTCCACCCCCAAATCGCCCTCCGACGACCGCCACCCCCACAGTTCAGTCTCCCCCTCCCATCCCCGCCGGCCCTCTCTTCTCCCCTCCCCCGTCGGAGTCAGTCCCTCTCTTCAACCGCCCCCACCCCCCAGTACCGGTCTCAGCTTCTCCAGCGGGCCTCAGCCCCGTCCACCCCCAACCCCGACGCCCCTTTCTGCGCGCCAGTTCTGGCCCTTCTCCCATATTTATAAGTGTCCGGCCGGGGCGGGCGGTGGGCGCGGCGTCCCCGGCGCGTATCGTAGGCAGTGTACCGTGGCCGTGCCGTCAGAGTGTGCGTGTGCGTGTGTGCCGTGTCGAGGCTGTGTAGAGTGCATTGTACAGCATATTTTCATGAATAAAATTGTTTTAAATATTTCCCGCGCCTTGGGTTAGCGGGAGGGGAGTGGTGGCAGAGGATAATTGACAGGGAACTTGGGGCAGGAGGAGGGTTCCTGTGCCTGAGTCACTATTGCGGCTTTGTGTCTGGGTACTCGTCAGCCTTTGCTAAACTAATGCTCCTCTGCCCAGCACATATTGGTTAGGCGCCTGCTGAGTCCCCCGTGCTGAAGTTGTGCTTCGTGGAGCTCTGCACCTGTTTCTGTGAACATGTGCATGCACGAAGTTTTGGCCCAGGAAAATGCGTCCTAAATAATCCTCAGAGATTGGGAGAGGATGCACAAATATTTACTGAGAACCTTTAGTGCCAGGCTCTGTGTTGGGCACGATTTTTGTTCCCGTTGTACAGATGAGAAAACAAGGTCAGAGAAAATAACTTGGGAAGGAGGGTAGAGATGGTGAAAAGAGAACCCTTTGAGGTGCACAGACTGCTCTTGGAATCCATTTCCTACAATTTACCAGCTGTGTGACCCTGGGCAAATTTTCAACCTCTGAAGCCTTTCTTCCTGTACTACACCATGGAGTAGTACCATCCATCTCATGACCGTCTGTGAGGTATGAGGAAAGGTATGTAAAGTGTTCAGCACAGGTCCTGTACTCATTCATTTTAGGAAGATTTGGTGAGCACCGGTTAAGTTTTTATACCAAGCACTGGGGCTGCCCTAGAGCCACACAGACACAGTCTCTACCCTTAAGGAACTTAGAGGCTCCTGGGGAGAACAGGCCAGCAAATAGGCGATTATAGATGAAAGCTGTGATGATCCGAGAGGAGCCAGGTGGCTGTCGTGGGAATGGATGATGGGGCAGCACTCATCTTGGACTTGAGTCAGGGAAGGTGCCTGGACTGGTGCTGCCTCAGCTAAGCTTGGTAGGAGGAATTGGCATTGGGAAGGGGATTCAGATGAAATGGCATGTTCAAAGGCCCAGAGTCAAGAGATGTGTGGATTCCAGAACCAAAAGCAGTTGAGTGTGGCTAAAGTTCAGAGAAGGACAGATTACTGATGGCAGGGAGGCTAATGGGCCAGAGGGTTCAATAGTGGAAGAGGGACAATGTGGTCCAGCCGGAGGTGCTGATGTGGCTCAAACCAGGGGATGGGGGAGGACAGTGGGGCTGGAAGGGAAAGGATGAGTTCACATGTACTTTGGATATGGAGTCACTGGGAACTTGGTTGTAGACTGGACCTGGGGGATGAAGGAGAGGGAAGCATCAATTGATGGTTTTTGTTTGGGTATCTGGGGAGACAGGGCCATTCCTTGAGATAGGGCACACCAAAGCAGGAGGAGCCCTAGGGAAATTGATGTGCTCATTTGAGCTATAGTCCATGAGAATCTTTGGGATTTGGAGCAGAGGGAGAGATGTTCAGGAGCATACACACTAGGTGAAATGGCCTTCTCTGGCACTGGGCAACATAGTGGCCCTGAGGTGTCCACATGCATAGTGGGGTCAGAGCCCAGAACGTGTCTGGGCTGGAAAGGGAGGTCAAGAATCAGGAGCACAGAAGTTGTCACTGACGGGTTGGAAGTGGCTTGGGAGGGGAAGGATTGCAGAGTTGGAAGAGCAGAAAGTCCAAGTCTGCTTTGATGAACACCTTGGCACAGGAGGGACTCACTGGCTGAGAAGGAGAAGAGAAGGAAAACCAGGACCCCGGGGAATGGGGGGCGGTGTCCTAGAAAGGAATACCCAATGTTCTTACCTTCTGGAGCCTTCCTTTCTCAGTCTGGAAGATGGGGCAGGAGCACCTGTTTCACACATTTGTTTTGAGGAGCAAATAAGATAGGAATTATTGTCTGAGGTCACTCTATTGGCAAGGCACAGAGCCCCTGAGTGTGTACCTCCAATGCCCAGGCTCTCGTGCAGCCCCCACTGCCTCTAATGAAGTGGCTGAGAGCAGAGGAGCAGAGGAACTCGGAACCAGTAGAATCCGCACAGGTTCTGGGCTCTGAGTTGGGGCTGAGACCCAACCTGGTATGGTAAGTGTCCCTGCCAAGTGGGGAGCACATAGAGGCTGATGTCCTCTCTCCCCTGGGACAGATGCCCCAGCCCAACCCCACAGCCAGCCTCTGAGACAGCCCAGCTGGGTGTGGGCTCCATATGGGCTGCAGAACTGCCCCCACCCTAGGCTGACGGAGGGTGGGCCGCTGGTGTGTGTGTGCAGGGCTGTGTGTTTCCATGTAGTCCCATATGTGTCTGTCTGTGTGGGCCTGTGTGTGTGTGTCTGTGTGTGTGTTAGGGGTCAGTGAGTGTGCTGGGGGGCAGGTGGGGTGGTGCTTGAGGTTCTCCCTGCTGAGTGTGCGCGTCGCTGGGTGTGTGTGTGTGTGTGTGGTGGGAATGACAGTGGATCTGCCTCCGAGTGTGCCCACGCAAGTGCCGGGGCTGTGCAGTCCATGCCCGTGTGAGGTGCTGTCTCTGTCCCCACATGTGCCTGCACACCCTCCTCTCTGGGCATGCCTGCCTGTCTTGGCACAAAGCTCTCTCCGGGAGCACCAGCACTGGTGTTCCCCTGCCAGGAGCGTCTTCTGGACTGCTCTGCTGTCTATCAGAGCGGAGGGGAGCAGAGGGACACTCCAGACCCTGGGATCCAGCCCAGCTTATGAGCAGGGAGGAGTGGGACCACCTCAGAGCTCTGACTGAGCTCTTCCTGGCTTAGGCCAGGGATCATTCCAGACACAGCTTCTGTCCTGCTGGGTCCCATCAGGAGAAAGGGGGCAACACCCCTGTGGCTGGGGGGCTGCAACTGGCCCTTCCCCATCAACTTTGGAGCCCAGCAGACGCGCTCCCCTCTTTGCCCACTCCCTGGGAGGCGTCTGACACATGATTTATTCATAAAAAGCCATTATTTGTGCCAAAGAAGAACTGAGCCGCTGGCTTTTTAAGTGCTGATAATGCTTTCAGCCTCCCTGCCTCTCCTTCTCTCCCTTCCCCTCCCATCTTCTCTCTCACTTCCTTCCTATCCTTTCTCCTCCTCCCCTTCCTTCCCCTTCCCCTCTGTTCTTCCTCTCGATATTCCTTTATTGTTCTCCCCACACCTCCTCTCCTCCCTATTTCTTTATAGACCTCCCCTCTCACACCACTCAGCTCTTCTCTACAGTGAGGCTGGGTCAGGGAGGCTCAGAATCAATTGTCCCAAACTGGGTAAGGCCTGCACTAGCCTGGAGCCCCAAGGACCCCACCCCTCCACCTCATCCTTCACCTCCAAAGGACCAGAGGAAGGTTGGGAGGAGGGGGGCCAGGCTGAGAAAGGTGGCGGGGTGAGGGGGGTCTTTGGAGGCTGTCCTGACCAGCTCCCCCTATGCTAAAGGGTTGACTTCAGCACTCTTATTAGCACCAGTACCCCAGACTCCCAAGTAAACATTCAGTCTTGGTAAAAACAATGCACTTGCTATACAGGTTCAAGGTAAGCCCTTTAGAATGCCTTTCCCCCCAAAGAATGCCCCCATATAGAAATTCTGGAGCCACCATTATTGAGGTGGTGCCAGGAGAGGATGGCATCAAGGGAGGCACTTGGGCCCCATGAGAGGGCATCCCCTGGTCTCAGAGAGGAGGCAGCAGAATGAGTGTGTTCACAGAGCTTGAACATGGACCCAGGAAAGGTTCTTAGGAGCAGACATCATAGACCTATGTGTGTGGCTTCGAACGTGCACATGCATGCACACAGACCAGCATGTGCATAGCTGCATACTTACTTATGCAGATGCAGAGCCATTCCTCACCCCTTTCCAAAGCTTTTCTCCCCTGAGCACCTGCAGCAGGGGCTGGAACACTTTCCCCATTCAGACACCTGCTCATGCATTCATCCATTCATTCATTCACTCTGTGAACTTTGGTTTTATGCCCCCTCTGTGCCAGCCTTTGTGCTGGGCACTGGGGAGGCAGAAATGAACATTACTGGGCCCTAGAGAGGGGGACTGGAGCAGAGAGGGCACTACAGGCCCTCCCCTGCAGCCTTGGACTGGGGGTTGGGGGCCCAGCAGGCGAGGGGTTAAGTCATTTGGCATCCAGAGCTGGAGCCATTAGGCCTCCTAATTATGAAATTATCGAGGTCCTCAGGTGACTGCTAATTTCACACACACTGTTCCTCTCACGGCTAATGAATGCCCGCAGAACCCACACCTTGTCTTTCCTGCTGAACGGTGACCTGCAGTTAATGAGCTCAGGAAGGCAGACAGGCCGCCGGCTGGGTGGGTGGGGCACCAAGCCTGAGGAGGGGGCCACTCACCCCTCCTTCCCCTCCCAGCTCCCTTTGCTGGCTGCCTGCCCTAGTGAAGACTCCAGGGCCAAAGCCCAGCCCGCAGTTTCTGCAGGACAGGCTAGGACCGTCGCTCTTAGGAACAGGGAGGGATAAGGATTTGGGGAGGGCTTCAGCTCATATGATCCTGGAATGAGCATGGGCATAGTGAGGGAGGGACGAGGGAGGAGTGAGAAATGAAATGTGGATGGTGGAAGAGGACCGTTTCTGCTTGATTCTTGGGCCATGTCAGGGACATTTATGAAGGGTTGGGGGTAGTGACAGTTTAAGGGGTGGGGATTGGCAGGCAGGGTACATTCATACCCTGATGCTGGAGACGACGATGACTTTGGGGGATGGTGGTGCTAATGAGACTGGGAATGTCAACTGGTGAGGCTGCCATGCTGCTGCTGCTGGTTGTGATTTGTAAAGTTTCAATTTTTTAAATTAGAAAAGTAACATAAAATGTGTACCCTGCAAAATAGGAAGGAAAAACAAGGGACACATACTAGTTGCAATCTTAGGTGAGGCAGTGTGGGAGCCCAGGTCTAGGGGCTTTGTTCCCCCAGACGGAGGTGCGTGGACCCTCTGGGCTGACCACCAGGTGGGTTTGAAGGTCCTGTGGCCCATGGGGAAAGTCCTGCCCCAGCCATGACCCACCAGCCAGGTCAATACCGTTGAGTGGTGGCATGGTGAACGAGGACAGCAAGAGAGTGAGAACCCCAGTCTCGGACATAAGCAGCCTTTGTTCTAG